GATGTGCACCGTCGATTATTGTCCGGTACACACCATTAGAATTCGACTGTCGATAAACCGGTTGTACTCAGGAGAGGTTTTCTACAGTTTCCCTCTTCTCTGGCGAGAAAACCCATTGACGGGTGGTCCAGGCAAATGCGAGTACTCCTAACCTCAAAAAGTCGTTCTGTAGAAACGCAAAAACTAGTTGGTATATAAGAGTGTGTGTTCTGACAGTTGGCCTAGCTTCAAGTCATTTAAGAAGAAAAAAAGAAAAAAAAATATGACAGGTTATCAAATTTCAAATAGTTTGACGTTTGTTGAATTAAAGTAGATCTCCTTTTGTTTTGTTTGTCGATATCAAAATTCAGTGCTAGAAAAATCATTTTTGATTCTATCATTTCTATATTACAAACAATAATACTCGAATTCGCAGGGTAATTGAAAATAGGCCTTTTAATATTCCACAATTGTCCTTCAATCAAATCAAATAAATAAAGGTAAATAATTTAAAAAATTAATAAATTAAAATTAAAAAAATATAAACGAATAAATATATATTTATAGTTTATTGCCTAAAGAAACACTTCAAAAAATTAATTTTTTTGTAAAATTAATAATCTTTTATGTAACATTATTACACATATATAAGTGGAAAATTTATAAATATAAAAAGAAATATAAACATAACATGAAATCACAGTATATAAATTTTGACAATATAAACTTAAATCGAAAATCTATTTTTAGTGTTTTTTGAGACAAACTAGATCTGAAATTCTATAAAAAAAATTGAAAATTTTATGTTCATTGTACTTACTTTCATTGACGTTAATGTTTAATTGTTGGAGCTGTTTTATAAAACGATATTTCCTCACACGTTTTGAACTGTTATGTTTTCTCATTTTCAAAGCGTGAAAACGGACTGACATCTGTTAATAATAATTGAATGCAGTTGGAAATAAAAGAAATAATAAATGTTCCGCATTTTAAAAATGACATCTGCAATATAGGTCCCTATCAGGCCCCGAAAACTTCCAAATCAGGCTATAATGAGGCAGTCCTCATCGGGGCCACATGACAAACAGGATTTAAATAGGTCAATTTCTACACGGGTAGGGTGGGGTGAAAAAAAGCCATTTGAGTTTTATACTAAAACTGAATTAAACCGATTTATTAGCCATTTAGAATTTAAATTCTATCAGATTTTACGCAACTTTTAATCACAGTTTTGGCTGTTATATTTAAAATATTATAGTTTTTATTGTAAAATTTAGTTTTGAGTTACCTCGAACAAAAAATTTTTTAAAACTTTTTGAACTTATTACAACTAACAGAAAATACATAAAGTATGTGGTTATACCTTAAGAGAAAAGTGAACTGAACAATTATATATTTATTTCAAAAAATTTTTCAGATTTTGAGATTAATACCTATATCTTTTTGTAAAAATAGTCAGAGTAGTAATTGGATGGTAAATGTATTTGGAATGTTTTTAAAAATCTTGGAACAAAATTTAAAACTTATCAAATGAAACCATTTTTTCAATAGCAACGTTTTTTACGCATAAAAAATTACAAAAAATTCTACATTAAAATAAATCAAGTCTTTCGTCAGTACTGATACATTCCACTTTTGTCATTGTTTTAATACACTGAAAAAAATTTCTGGCACCCGTATACCAGGAATTGACTACTTTGCCTGATTACGAGAGGCATCCACTAGGACAACCTAGTTAAAAGACTAAGGTCAAGCATAGTCAAAGTGCCCTACTAAAAATAAAATCAGGAATGGTCAGACAAATGGTCAGGCCGCCTGACCACTTTAATCCAGTTTTCTTACGATTCTGGATGTATCTCGTCAGAAATCTATCACAACTGATCAGGAGGAAGTTTAAAGTGGTCACAAGTTTGCTACTATCCCCTCCTCTTTGTTGACCACGCCCATAATTGGTGACTATTTGAGACCATTTGTATCTCATTTTTGACCATATTTTTAAGCCACTTCTGTTTTATTTATTTAAACAATATGCAAAAAGTTGCAACAAATAAATTAAAAAAATATATTTTATTAATTAATATCAGTTTGTTTACATACGGAACAACTTGAAACTAATTCCCGGAATTAAATTAAAATTTGGACCCTACGGGGATCGAACCCCGACGCATGACCTAACCTAGTGCCTAAACTAACTGCCCTAACGACTGCGACTACCGAACCGACTTACATATTTCTGGATTCAGCTGTCTATATAAAGAGCAACTGTAAAATAGTAAAATTCAATTACCAATATTATCAATAAATCAGAATAAACTGTTAAATAATTTTTATTAATTAATTATATTTCAATTTAGTCATAATAGGTTTAGTGAATTAATAAAAATTAACATTATTAATTGAATCAATAATAAATTAAGTCTTAACTTTACAATTTGTAATGTTTTATAAACTATAATACGAATACAGATTAATAATAATTATTATTATATCTGCATTTAAAATGAATTTAGTATTTAATATTAATTTAATCTAACATTATAATTTATAATAATAATGAATTATTAATGCAATATTGAAATTTTTATAAATTTTAAATTTAAATTATTAATAATAATCATTATAGTAAGAAATTATTCTATTAATGATTAATAATAATTTAAATATAACTGTATTTCAATTATAATGCAAATATTTCTCATAATAAGTACTGACTGTTATAGTAAATTACTAATATTATGAAACAAAATTTATTATTAATTAACTATATTAAATAATTACAAGTAAATATACATATATTAAATTAATATATTATAAATATACATTAAATAAATATATTAAATAATGTTAAAAGAACGGTCCGAATGTTTTGATTTATTTACCTACTTTTGCTGTATAATTAATTCAATAATTATACCAATTTGAAAAATGAGAACTTTTGTTAAGTTAAAAGAACAATTTTTATAATAGAATAATGTATTCTGAAATGTAAAAAATAAATTTGAAAGATTTTATATGTATACATATATAAATTTTCATGAGACTTTACCAAAATTAGAAAGATGTACCAAAAGGCTTGGAAAGTATTTGGTTAGGAATGGTGAGAAACGTTCGAAAACGTCAGAAGTGGTGAGACTGTTCAGGAATGTTCAGAAATTCTGACCATTCATGACGATTCCTGATTTTATTTTTAGTAGGGTGACTAGAAAATTAGTTAATGTGGATAAGAAAAATAGTCAAATTGACTAGGATTCTTAATCGAATTTCTATTATCTGATAACAAACAAAAAGTAAAGATTAAATAAAAAAAGTAAATAATATTGCTTAGAACACATTCATAATTCACGTTATATACGTATTAGAATTAACACAAACTTATGAAATAAATATTTAACACGGGGGGGGGGGGCGCAAACACCTAACACTAACGCATACGCACATTGAAAACCCGGAACGCTACCACTACACTACACACGCACGTGTTGTACTAAATTATTTAACAGATATTAGAATTTCCAGTCAAAATTTTGAAAATACACAATTTTACTTGCTTGTCAAGAACTATTCATTTTTATTTATTTATGACATTTATATGTCATTAGTAATTAATAGAAAATTAACAAATAGTAAATTATAACATTAAAATGCAAGCATTATTATAACGGTACTTTACTTATAAGCACAGATATTAAAATACTACAAAATTTTGATTCCACTTGTGTGAAATTTCAGGCTTTTTAGGTTAGCTATAAAGTTTGAACGAATTAAATTATCAAATATATATTATAGCTTAATTTTAATTATCTGTTTCGATTTACTCGATGAAAACGGCAAATTGTGAAATACGCAGAAAAGATATTTTTTGCACAAAAAATAACTACGATTAACGAATATAAAAATCGTTTTACAAAAAAATAATAATCATGAATCACAAAAGACAGGTTAAGATTAATCCTGAGTTTATAGTTAATAATACCATAGAGATTTTTTCAGTGTAACGTTTAATATAATACAGTGTTAATTATAGCTTTATGGAATAGTCATGCGCCCCAAATTGTGATTGGAAAATATAAATTATACAATTTATTAAACTCTTTTAATAGAATACTTGACATTTTGTTAAAAAATTGTGCAATGAAGAAATAGAAATTAGAAAAATATTTTTACTTATTTCTAAAAAAAACTGTTAAAACATTGTGACAGGAAAATATGTATAAAGAATGAAAATTTTTTGTATAAAGAATGCAAAAAGAAACAACTGACAAAGGATCTCGCAAAAAATGCATAAGTTTTGGCTTACTGTTAATTTTTTCCATATTTTCAAAATAAATAGTTAAAACAGTTCAGATTAAAGATATAATTTATATTTAATCTCAAAATTTGAAAAGTTTCGCTAAAATCAGGGATTAAAATGCCCCTATTTTCAATAGTTTTTCACTACTTTCTCAATAATTCACTAATAAGGTGAAAATAAGTGGTCCTTATTTATGAACGTGTACCGATTTGCCAACTTTGCGCATATATGTGCAAATTTAAATGGAAATCAATTAAATATAGTTGTATGTAGTTACTTTTCATCCTATAAAGTAGTTTTTGATATAAAACGGTATTTTATGACAATAAATGTTTTAATAATTCAATTTTGCTTTTTGTCATCTGCAAGAAATCAAGTCATTTGATATTGACTGCCTCCGTCCCACGTTTTCAGACCCTGCTTCACCAATTGAATACTTCTTCCAAAACATAAGTGATAAAATTATTAAGGTTCAAAAGGTCGCAAAATCAATTATACTTGATCGTTTTCAGTAGGAACCTCTGCTTTGAAAAGAAATCTATTTAATTTTTTCAGGTAACTTAAGCAATAAGAACAATAACTTTCTGAAAAATTACATGAAAAAGTCCTTTTTCACAAAAAGCGCTGTTTTAGCCATCAGTTGGCAACTGAAGCGAACTGATATGACCACTCAAAACTACCGAGAGTTTGCGACTTGAATGAGAGAAACGGGAATAAGAAGCAGTTGGTATTTCAATTTTCATTGATTTTATTATCAAGTATAACAAAGTATATTTCAAAAATTAATTTATGAATATCATCTATTTATATCTTTAACATCAATGTATCAATTTCATGATACTTTCGGAATCAGTCAATTTATTTTAAACGTTTTCTGAATTTTATGAGCAAGTATTCTTTAAATAAACTGACTATTTTTGGAAAGTGTCATTTTAAATTATTCATCAATTACCAAAAACTTGGTATTGCATTTAGTCTCTTTAAATACTGGGCATGTTAATTCTGTTGGGCCTTTTCTTCTATTTTACTTATTTCTTCTTTTTCAAGTTGTTCTCTCGTTAGAAGTGAAAGTCCTAATTGATCTTCTCTCGTAAATGATTGAGCCATTTGTCGTAACCATCGTTTACTAATTTGAATAGCTTCTTGAGTAGATAAATCGCATAAACTATCAGTAAGATGTTCTTGAATCCATTTTGGAAGTTTACTTCGTTTATCGGCCCTTGAAAATCTCTAAAAGCAAAATTTAAATAGATGTAAAAAACAGTCCAAGTTCCAAGTTTATATGTCTTTTTTCAAAATCAAAATATGCTAATTTAAATTCGGTTTTCGGTATTATGTTTTCTCCTTGTATTGAAGTGCACCCTACACCTTTTAACCATCGCAGTAGATAAGAAAAAAATTTATTTATAACTGATATGACTGTTCAAAATTCATTTGTAACGAATCTGAAACTAATCTGTTGCACTGCTTGCTTACTTCATCAAATTTTATGCAGACCATCGTAACTTACGTTTGTGGTTAGAGTAGAAAAGCTATCGGATTGCGGATCTTGATCAATTCTATGCACAATGTCAAAAAAATAATGTCTTTAAACTACCTAATAAAGATTGCATTACTACAACAGAAAAATTCAAAACGTACACTAAAAATTGTGAATTGCAAATTATCCACCGAAATCCTAAATTAAATAAAGAATATATTTAGGGGAGAGTGGGGCAAACCGGCCAGGTGTCAATATCTCCGAAATGGCGAAATTGTCAAAAATGCTATTTAGAAATTTGAAACAACCATGTGTAGTATACCTTATTTTTTCAATTTGACATTTTTTACTTTTGTTTGTGCAACGCTGGAAGCAAAAGTTTTTTCTAGTTCTTTTCTACACTTTTACGAATTTTTTCTTAAGGGGTTACATGGGTCAAAACGACCTGAAAACGTATGTTTTTTTAATAATTTTTTTTTCATAAAATAAATAAATTTTTTTATTTGAACACTTTGGTATCTGAAAGTACACTATTAAATAAGAAAGATAATAAATTTTTTATAAAAATATTTAAAATCAGGCCCGTAGCAACAGTTCTTCGGGCCCCTTTCAAAAAAAATTGCTTTTGCGGTGGTCAAGATATCTTTTGACTGCTTCATCTAAAATCAAAATACAAAAAATTTTCTGTTAGTGGGTGAATATATTTCGTGATTGAACGAAGGGTTTTCAAAGAAATTGAAATTTGGATGTTTGACAGTGTCTTTTTCCAAAGGTTAAAATTTTTAGAACCATTAAGACCATGTAAAATCGGTTCTAATCAACAAAAAAATATTCCTTCGTTCAATCACGAGCTATACTCATCCACTAACAGAAAATATTTGGTTTTTTGATTTTCAATGAACCGGTCAGAAGATATCGTGACCACCGCTTTTTTGGAAGAGTTCTCAAAGAACCTGTAGGTACGGCCTTGATTTTAAATATTTTTTAACGAAATTTTTCCAAGTTACTCTTTTAATAGTGTACTTTAAGATATGAAAACACTCAAATAAAAAAATTTATTTATTTTATGAAAAAAAATAATTAAACAATCATACATTGTCCGGACGTTTTGACCCATGTAACCCCTTAAGGAAATTCTGAGGAAATCGTGTAATATTTCCAAATATTAGGTCTTGGGTTTTGAAGGTACACACCTCAGGAATATTTACCACCAAAAACTTTGATAAAATTTGCAAAGCGGTTTTTTTAAACAAATACTAATTCTCAAAATGGGCCTGTGGGGCAAACCGCAGCCATAGGATATTTTCATTGTATCAGAGTTTCACGAAAATTATTATTTATTAGAATGTTTTTTTCATTAAAATATTTGCTTTCAATGAAAAATAATTATCTTCCAATGATAATTAGACCCTTTAATATTGTTTTTGTCCTACATGCGCGATAAACTCGACTTTCCGTGCATGCATAGCGGGCGGAAAGTAAGCTTTTGCCGCCCGACTACCAACAGCGGGCGGAAAAACTACTTTTCCGCCCGCTTACCAACAGCGGGCGGAAAAATCACTTTTCTGCCCGCCTCTATGGCCTTAGCGGGCGGAAAAACGACTTTACCGCCCGCTGCTTTAGCAGTATTAAATAAATACTACTAATTATTATATTACCACTTTCCATTACTTCAAATCAAAACGGAGTCAATTTTTAAGTAAAATTTTATTGTTAAATTTATCAAAAATATTCGGACTCGCCTTAGGCTTAATAAAAATGTTTCATACACATTTAATAATTAGTGCATATTCATTTTTGAATTTACGGTTGCGTCTTGTTTATCGCGCATTTGGACAAAAAATATCGTGTGCAACTCGGGCGGAAATGTCAATTCTGACCTCGTACGATTGCCGCCCTCGCTTCGCTCGTGCGGCAAATTTCGAACTCGGTCAGGAATTGACAACTTTCCGCCCTTGCCACACAATATACTATTCCCTGATAATTTCAAACATTTTTGTTTTGTTATTAAAAAAATGATTTATTTAATTACAATTCAATCCTGTATTATTATTTACATTATTATAACCATTGTTTTAATTTTTTTAAAGTTAACACAGCAACTAAACAATAAAAGATAAAGTATAAGTATAAATCGGTTGATTCGTTTAGTCACAAGAGTAAAACAACCGTTGGTATGGCCGGTTTGACCCACTCTCCCCTAATTATTGATTATTATTATTTATAATTATTAATTTAATGTTAATGTGCACGTCATTAATACTCTTGAAGATGTGCCGAATGTTTGTACAAGAAATGAGATGTAATCTTAAATAGAAAAAATAATTACCTTGTCTGCGAAAACCATTATACCGTAATCAGTTTTTCCTCTAATTGCTCGACCAACGCATTGAGCTGCATGTCTCATAGCATCAAATGTTAGAAAATCGTTTTCAGCAATCTGAAGCAAAACGTGTTTGTCTACACTATTTGATTTTTTCTTATGTAGAAGACTTGTAGCATCATTTAACGGCCAATAAAAATGAACAAGTAGTAGATGAGTAGAAATATTCTTACCTGAAATTGATCACGTAGATACTGCAATCGAGCCTTTAAAATTCTAGACTGGGTATAAACGTAAGGAATCCCAAACATCAATACAGCTCTGCCCAAATGATGATCGAAATCGACACCCTCCGAGACTTTTCCTCTTGCAACAGAAAGTAGCACTGCACCTCTGCCATTTTCACAAGCTTTAATATAATTTATCAGAGCTAAGCTGGTCTCTGCAGAGTCTTGAGTTTCGATAAAAAGTAACTTGTGCCTTTGAAGCTGGTCTACCATGCCTTGGTCGTACCTTAATTTTAATATTGCAGTTATTCATTTTATTTATTTATTCATTTAATCGCTTATTTATCCCTTTGAAAAGGCACGTAAAGTAAGGGACTGTGGGTAAATTTTGTCAAAAAATTCAATGTTTTCATTGTTTTTAATTTCAAATTACTTGGCAATATGGCAGCTATTAACTGAGGTTCGAGGCTTCACAAATGCAGAGTGCGTTCGGACACGCAGCTTATTTCGAACTAATAAAATGAGTAACTTTTTAATTTCAAACTCTTCTTCAATTTACTAATTATAACATTTTTTTGTTTTCAAATTTTTCTAAAATATTTTTGCTCCAAAAAACACCATTTTTGTATAATAATTTTAAAAGTTTGTAATTTTTCCATTACTTTTGATAACATTCCCTAACTATTCTATGATTTCCCTGCTCAATTTCGTTTTTCCAGAAATGTTTTCTATCTTCATTACACAGTATTGTTGATGATGTGTAATCAATTTTCGCATCATTTAAATAAAGTCATCAATTTATTTTAAACTGAAAAGTTGTAAATTTTAAAAGTAATATTCCTACATTATTCCAAAGGTCGGACATTTTATAAATTCAGTGAATAATAAATGACAAAAAATATTTGAATTACTATTTACCAGGCTGCAACAACAGATTCCATATATAAGTATGAAGTGAAGAAGCAGACCATACCATCAGGGACGATCGCAGCGAATTCCACCAATAGCTGTCCATAATTCCTTATAACTGAAACGTCCTCTCTAGTTTCGTACTTGGAGGAAATAACAGCTTGATCTTGTCCTTTTGATACAATCTGCAAGCAAAGCATCAGTTCAGTATAAATACTGAACGCGGGCATCATGTTTGTTATTAAATTACAACCAACCATTGGCAGGAGACATGGTCTCGCCAATGTCATAGTAAAGGATGACATAATAACAGGGTGGAAATTCAGAATTTTCGGGTACATATCAAGTGGAGATAGTGTTCCGGACGTGATAACGACAGACTGAAACCTATCGAAAATAGGTTTCATCGCTATGGAACAGTCTAGGCAACTAAAATGCAAGACTGGATTCAAGACGGTCGACGTCTTATCATCAAAAGGTTCAATAATTATTGTAAATCCTTTCGTGTAAGTGGCCACCAGCGTTGCCAAATGAGTTACTAGTATTAAAGGAGAAAAGTCTGTTATGTCCGTTAATTCCAAAGTCCTTAGAAGTGACGCCAAACGTTCAGCACAAAATTTTAGTGGTTTTCGCTCAATGCAAACTTTACTTTGAGTATCTCTCAAAAATGAGGCAGGAGACTCTTGTACCACATGTTGAACGCGCAAACGCGTTTTCACGTACTCTACGAAGCGTTTTAAGAAACTAATGAAGTGCTCAGCATTTCTGATATTTCCAGGAACAACTTCTGCAACAAGCATGTGAATTATAGGTTAAAAAGTGAGTAATAAATAATTACATCTGCGAGAATGAATAGCAACAAATAATAACTATTATAATAATTTATATGTGTCACATAGTGTTTGCAATAAAAAAAGTACATGAAACAAATTTGAAGCCCTGTGTTTCGAATCAAAATATTATTTTACATACACACTAAAAAAATCCCGATCCTGGATACAACAAGGTGGCTACAGTTAAAGCCGATTTTGTTGACATGACAAAGATTCTTTATTAAATTAGCAAAACAGGTACAAACTTAACTCTAATAACGTTACCGCGTGGAGACAATTCGTTAAAATAACAAGGACTCCCATTTGAAATAAAAATGGCCAATAGTCTGCAAAAATTACGCTACATTCATAAAGTGAATAAGTTTGACATTAATGGAGTTAAGTTTACTAACTAAATAACCACAGTGACGTTACGTGCTACTTGGGAAATGAGAAACCTACCCTGCTGAAGATTATTCTTACTTGGAGTTTAATTATATATTACCTTGTAATATTTCACTTGGCAAAACAGGATTAGCTAAGATTACATCAGTCTCTCTTGCGATTTGAGCATCCTTTAATCCTTCAACTAGTTGATTATATTCTTCTTGCAATTTATTTACATCGTCTTCTCTCATTCTACGAATTATAATACATGTACTTTTATTATTATTATTATTATTATTATCATCATCACTTTTATTATTATGAAATTAATATTATTATTTAATATAGGTATTAACAGTATGAATAATCAATAAGGTTTTTCGGACTTGATTTCTAAAAGATAATTTTGATTTTTAAAAATTTGTTGATCGTAAATAGGAATAATTTGCGAAAATAACATTTCGTTATAAATACAGTTCGATTAATTGACATGTCGTAAAAATAACTGTTCGGTCAAATGCCATTTGGGGAGTATTCATGCGCCTCCCTACGCGAAGAGTCACCCGTATATGTATATGTATACAAAGAAGGAGTTTACACCGTAAGCCTTAAATATAAGCCTCCGCGAGCATAAACGGATATGCCTCCATGAGGATATACTTGCGTCTGCGCAAAGTGTTTGCCTGCAGCTGTGTTGTGAAAGAGTTTGCCTTGACCACGTGTTCGCGCAGGCGCAAATATATGCTCCTGGAGGTATATCCGTTTATGCGCGCGGAGGCTTATATTTAAGGCTTACGGTGTAAACTCCTTCAAACTTAAGATTGCATGTTTCTCTTCAGTTAAAATTGTTCTACTTCTATGTTTAAGAAAAGAAATGATAATTATATATCTTACTCAGATACTGCTTTTTCAAGAATTTGAATTTTAGCAGAACATTTCTCCATTGTTCTTCTGTTAATTTTTACACTCATAGAGTCAATGCACACGTTATCTAAAAGAGAAAAGAATAAAATATTAAATTTCTCATAAAAGTAAAATTAGGTTGTCGAAATTAAAAATTACCAATATTATGTGCTTCGTCGAAGACAACTACTGAATTTTTCGCTAATTCTTTCGAAACAGTTTCAGCAATTTTTGGATCTAATAAATAATGATAACTATAAACCACAATATGTGCTTGTATAATCTACAACAAAACATTATTCAAAATTATTAATACGGAGAAACATTTCTTCGACAAGTCTTTTAAAATTCAACATGATAAATAAGACCTGCAAAAGGCATACGCGTATACTTACCGTAAATCGTGCCAAAAAATATGGACACCAATTTCTTTCTCTTGAATAATTTTTTAAATCTTCAAGGGAGTAAATTCCAGAAGACATAAGTAACTCACGGCCTTCCAAATCAAATGTTTCATAAAAACTACAAGTTGGCACACTATCGTCATAATGATGCCTCTCCCGAACATAGGAAGCAGTTAAAGCATGACAACGGCTGTCAACAATTTTTCCATCTCTTTCTTTACTAACCTAAACAACAGTGTTAATATTAAGAGTTTAGGAAATAGTCTAGGAAAATCGTATTTATTTCACTTACCTCCGGATGAATGCATAAATTCTTTCTAGAACTTAAAACTAGAGCTAACATGTTCCATTTCTTTTCCGACTCTTTTTCATAATAGTCTATCAATGTCTTTAGCTCCTGTATGACCTTTTCTATTTCTGGCATAGTTCGAGAGCAATATATCAACTTTGAGACACTGTGAGGATGTTCCATCATGTATGCTACAATCAACGACAACAGAGTGACTGTCTTGCCAGTACCTGACGGCATTTCCAGAAGGCAATGACCCTGAAATAGTTATTAAATATGCAAAAACCAAATTGTATGCATGTAAGTCAAAATATTTAGAAATTGTATTATGACAATCAATTACCTAATAATTTTTAACAATTATTACATAAACTAGCCAATTGTAATGGAACGCGGTATTCCATTTCTTATTATTTTTTAAATTAAAAAATTTTATATTTTCAAGAATAAACATCAATTTTTTAATGACTACAGATTTAAAATAAAAAGAATTCACTCATTAAATACATAATATTAAATATTCTTGTTTATTATTATTCGAAAATTTTAATAAAATTTTTATCAAGAATTTCATTTTTCTCATAGATATAATAAAATTCGTCATAAGAATTCAATTATTTTCAATACAATAAAATTTCTCAAAAGAATACAATTATTTTTAAAAATAGTTGTTAGAGAATTATTACGCGGGTTTATTTTAAAACACTAATAACTTAATTGAATTATAGAGGGCGCGAATTAGTGTGAGTTTAGATAAGAAAAGTGTCGATAGAGAAGTGCGACGAATTTGAATTTTTTTGAAACAATTCAATTATTTTTATAAATTGTAAAATTTTTGGCAAGAATTCCAATTATTTTTGTAAATAATAAAATTCTTCTGAGAAATTAAATTATTTTCAGATACAATTTTAATAAAATTTCTATAGGAAAAAATTCAATTATATTTAAGATAATTTCAATAAAATTTCTCTAACAGGTTCAATTATTTTTGAAAATTGTAATAAAATTTTTCTAAACAATTCAGTTGTTCTCAAAAGTTTTTAATAAAACTCTTTGTAAATTTAAATTATTTTCAAAATTTTCATGATTAATATTAAACATTAAAAAATTACACTACACTGGAACCTCCGAAAAGAGAACGGCAATATATATAGTCTTGGACTTCTCTTCGGAATTCGCCCTTGACGCCACCTTGACGTTGAAAAATGTAAACATTCAGGGCCGTAAGGCGAACCATAAATATGTGGTTTTTGACAAAATTCATTTTAATTGCATAAGTGCTAACAAATTTTTTCAAAAATATTAAATATTATCCGAAAACGGACATTACTATATGTAAACCAAATTTATTAACTCTAACAAATGCTATTACGGTAATAAAAAATATTCAATTATTTTCAATACAATTTTAATTACATTTTCTCGAAAGAATTCAATTATTTTCAAATTTTTTTATAAATACTTTACAAGAATTCAATCATTTTCAGTAAATCGACTATTTAATTATTATTTCTGAAAATAATTGGACTCTTGAATAGAATTTTATTAAAACTTTTTTAAATAATTGAATTCTTACGTGAAAATTTATTATTTCAACAAAGAATTGAATTTTTGCAAAATTTAAAAAAATAATTTAAGGTACTCTCTCACCTCTATACACGGAAAAAAAAAGTTCACGAATCTCTCGTGAACTAGTATATCACTTTTGGATGGGACACAAAATTTCAAAATTTTCATTCACTTTTGATTAGAAATGGCGAACGTCAATGAAAAACTGAAACAAAGTTAATGAATTTTTGATGAACTGTTAAGGAAGAGTAGTTCGTCAAAAGTAGAGGTACAAGTTCACGAAAAAATCGTGAACTCGCGAGTGTCAGTAGTATGCGCAGTTCGTAATGCGCATCAAATATGGCTGATCAAGCATTTATCATTCAGTCGGTGTCATCGGTGTTTACATTCGGGAAAATTCTTTGATGAAAGTTATTATTTAGAATCAGTGTTTTTTATTACTTAGTGAATATTTTTGTTTGCTAATTTCCTTTGTGAAACAAATAATTCATAAAATGAATTAAAAGTTACGATAAGGGACTTTTTCTACTTTGCACGGTCCTGAGTTTTACAGCAGACAAAGCTAATCGTTTCGTTTGTCGAAGGACAGTGTATCTAGATTTATCCGTGGCGGTTAGTTGTTAGAAATATTATGTTATAGGGTATAGGTACTAGGTTCGAATCCCGTGAAGCGAATTACGAATTTTAATGGCGATAAAATTGTGTATTCTGTGTAGTTGGATGCGTAATAGGCGTCAAGTTATCAAATAAAGTGAAATACTATAAAAAAGTAGTGTCTGGAAATTATTTTTTCTTGTTTTTAGCATTTTTTAAAAGTTCACGAATTTTTCGTTAACTTTGACGAAAAGTTCGGAAACCGTACTATGTTTCTAGTGAAGGAGTTGATGAAATTTTGACGAACTGTGTTTGTTGATTTTCAAGAATTTTGTGTCCCATCCAAAAGTGATATACTAGTTCACGAGAGATTCGTGAACTTTTTTTTCCGTGTATGTGTTACCATGACGACCTGCAGGCAGGTAGGCAGTAGAGCTGTGCGAGCGCCTTTATTTAAGAAGTATACGGACATAAAGCCCATTCGTACAAAGTACACTCAAATCTCGCTATAACGACCTTCTCTATAACGAGAGCTCTCTATAACGAGGGCTCTGTCTCTCGGTATAGCGAAAAAAATTTTCTCCTGATTACCCCCACTATTTATAAACAAATGCACATTCAGTTTGTTTAAATTTGGTTAAAATCAATTTTATTTATATAAAATAAAAGTAAAAAGTCACTTCTTATTTGAAATTATATCAATGAGTCGAACATCTTCAAAATTTAAGCATATATAAATTTTCTGTATGTTAAAGTTCAAATTAAACTAGGTTACGTTTGTAATTTTGACATTATTTAATTTGTAAACACTAAAAAAAATGAATGAAGAATCTTAAAAGTGGGGATTTCTCATTTCTCCTCTTGCGCTCGTAATAGAGGGAGACTTGACGAGACCCATGCTTATTCCCGAAATATTTTTTGACCAAATAGGTATTTGACATAAAACTACTTAACTTAAAATTCACATAACATGAACATTATTTGTCATGAATTTCATTGCACACAAAAACCATTTAACATAAATATCATTTGTCATAGAATTCATTAAACAGAACTATTATGTTACATAAAACTCAGATAACTTAATTCCCATTTGACATGAAAATTATGTAACATAAATTTCTATTGACATAAAAATCATTTAACATAAATTTCTTTTGACATAAAATTCATTTAACGTAAATTTTATTTGTTATAAAATTCATTTGACATCAATTTCATTTATTTGGCATAAATGTCATTTAACGTAATTCTCATTTGACATAAATATCATTAGACATAAAATTAGCTTGGCATAAATTTCATTTGACGTGAATATCATTTAACATAATTATTATTTAACGTAAAATTAAATTTATATAAATGATATTCACGTCAAATGAAATTTATGTCAAGCTAATTTTATGTCTAATGATATATATGTCAAATGAGAATTACGTTAAATGACATTTATGCCAAATAAATGAAATTGATGTCAAATGAATTTTATAACAAATAAAATTTACGTTAAATGAATTTTATGTCAAAAGAAATTTATGTTAAATGATTTTTATGTCAATAGAAATTTATGTTACATAATTTTCATGTCAAATGGGAATTAAGTTATCTGAGTTTTATGTAACATAATAGTTCTGTTTAATGAATTCTATGACAAATGATATTTATGTTAAATGGTTTTTGTGTGCAATGAAATTCATGTCAAATAATGTGCATATTATGTGAATTTTAAGTTAAGTAGTTTTATATCAAATAACTATTTGGTAAAAAAAGATTTCGGGGATAAGCATGCGTCTCGACTTGACTCCCGAACTTCTCGTTATAGCGAGATTCGAGTGTACTAATATAAAAGAGATTCACAATTTAGCACGAAATTAGTTATTGTTGTATGAACACCAGGAAATGAAAGGCATTTTGACATTACCCATGAAAATAATTTTTACCATTCGAAAAAAATTAGAAATTTTTTCTTGATTCGCAAAGAAAACATGAGAGAAAAATACGTGAATAGACTAAGATCATCAGTTATTATTGTTAATAATTGAATTTTTGAGAAGAATTTTATTAAAATTGTATTAAAAAAATTGAACTCCTTTGAAAAATTTACTATTTATTGATATTATTGAATTCTTCGATTTTAAAAAAATGTTTTAAATAATCGAATTTTCTCTGGAATTTAATTAAAATTGTGTTTAAAATAAATTAATTCCAGCAAAAATTTCATTATTTCTAAAAATAATTGAATTCTTGAATTGGATTTTATAAAAAGTTTTTTAAATAATTGAATTTCTGTGAAAAATTCAATTATTTTTTTAAATGATTGAATTTTCTCGGATAATTTTTACAAGATTTTTAAAAACAATTGAAATTTTCGAAGATATTATTTAAAAATGGAATTGAAAATAAGTGAATTCTTCTAAAAAATGAATTATTTTCAATTTTTTTGATAAATACTCTACAAGAATTCAATGATTTTCAGTACATTAATTTAAAAATTTTTAATATTTAAAAAATAGTAACCGATGATTATTTAATAAAAAACATGAATGCTGAAGCCTGGACCAACGGAACTAAAATACTCATAACTCCGTCAATTTTGCTCCGCTCGACTTGAAATTTTAATACAATAATCTGTAGATATTATGCATTCATTTAAAAAAAATTTTTTAAAATGCAAAAAAAGTTTAAATACCTTACCCCTCTCCCCCTTAAGTAACAAGCGCCTCGCTATTAGGGCCAATACTAAAATGTCAGTACCATACTTTATACTTTATTTTAATAATTTTATGTGTAATACACATTTTAGATTTCTTTGTAGATTTAGTAGGAATGACGTTATGGTCACGGAGACATGGGTTTTCTTTAGGACACCCTTGAGACCTCCACGTCCGTTCAAAGAATGTCCTAAAGACACCTTATATACACAAGAAATCCCTAAAACGAAAGATGTATTTAGGAAATCCTTTAAACGGACGCGCCATCCTGTTGATGCCTAAAACGCAGCCCATTTTTCCATGCTCACTGCATGGAACAGCAGAGTAAAATATCAAACTTTTATGGAAAACAGATTCAAAAATTGATAAAGTATAAGTATAAAAATACCATTACACATGCTAAAAGATATAAAAAATAAAATACTTTTGCATCGAGGCCACGTTTCAGTTCCAACATGTACGCATACTGCTCTGGATAAATATAATCGTACGGAAAGTAAACCACCAGCCCATCAACACTGATCCTGTAAAAAAATATACGGCTATTTTAAATATGGTAAAAATCATTAAATTAGGTGATGACTAAATTTTATGAAAAGAGACTTCAAAATGCTTCAAAGCAGTTACTTTATTTCATTAAAAGCCAGGTTTTCTCTGAACATCATTTATTTGTAAAAAACTCAAAGTCAGTTATAAAAAATAAATCTTAAAAATGTAATGTGATTAGATTCGGTAAAAACAACAATTTTGTCGCAAGCCCTCTTTCCTCAGACTCGGGCTGATTTCGAAGGATTGTGAAAAAGGACGAAGGTAAGTTAAATGTAGAATCATAATTGTAGGGAGGGAGATAAAATTAATTAATTTGACGATGTCAAAAAGGGCATAATGGAACTGGAATTATTTAATTATTTTTCAAGTTTCAAGTAAAATTATTATTCAACAAATAATTTCATGATAGTTTTTCAAGAATTAAACTTTGCAATGAATATATTTTTTGCATCAGTAACCTCTAAAGTTAAATTTAAATGGTGTGTAAAGTGATTCACTTACGCACCGAAATTTACTTTACGCACTGTTTTGTATGTTTTAAAGGTTATGAATGTATACATAGGTAGTATATGTATATACTATGGATGTATATGTTTTTTTTATGTTTTATGTTTCATTTATTTATATATTCGTATATATAAAAAAATAAAATAAAATATATATTATTATATAAATACAAATGAACAACTACAATTCCCCCCATAGTTACTACACTTGTATAAGAATGTTGCCCAAATATTATCAATATTTTTGCAAAATTCGGTGAGTGTTGCAAAAAATGTTGTATGACACTCGTGCGTAAAGATGATTTTACTCATGTGATTTGCATCACTCGTATAATCACTCACTTTACGCACTTGTATCATAAATAACTATTTTAAATAATCTAGTTTAAAATCGTAATTAACAAATAGAAATTACAGGGATTTTTTTCCTAAAGATACTTAAAATTTTCTAATAAAGTGTTTTATAAATAAATTAATTTTGGAAATTTTAGTATAAAAATGATGCTGCAGATTATTATTTTTTTTCAAAGAAAAACATAATTTTGTCAAGAAATTGTGATAAGAAATAGTAATTTTATAAAATGTTTTCTTCTTTTTCAGAAAGAAACTTATAATTTTGTAAACGGAATTGCGATTGAGAAAAAGAAAATATGCAAAATAGTTTCTATTTCTTAATCTTAGTTTTTTAACAATTTTCTAACTTTTATCAAAATTATGGAATTTTTACAAATTCTAGGAAAATAGGTAAATATTTGAAATCATAACTTTGTAGAAAAACTTTTTTTAGAATACAGATTTCATTAGAAATCGCTTTTTTAGACAAAAAGGATTTGAAAATATTTTTTAGAAAAAGTGATCAACTTACACACATTTCAACTAAATTTTGAAACAAAATTTAAAAATCCGATATACACGGGAATAATATGGTTCAAGGGTTCTTAAAAATTTTCCGATGTAAACGGGTATTTTAACACACAGTGCATGGTTATCAAAAGTAGTATTAATTTTAGTATTTGTTTAATTAGATTGTAGAACATTCTTCTAGAGCGATTAGAGAATTATTTAGTAACTTTGCGCGCTGAGATTATTTCCAATTTAACTTATAATAATACCTACATTGAAAAAAATTAATTTCATTAAAATAAAGCATTTCTTTTCCATTTACAAATAAATAGGTACGGATTTGAATCAAATAATTTCTATAGTGCCTATTTGTTCTAAATAGTGAATCTGTAGATTCAACTGCAATTTATTTGACTTTAATAAAAATTATTTGACAAGCAATCGGTTGTTTGAGACAAATAAATTTTTTCCAGTGTAGTTTTGTCAGTGAAACAATTCTTTTTCTTGTGTGTACACCCAGTAAGAAACGAAAAATTGAAAAGTATTAAAAAGATTCTATTCTTTTGAATGCCATTTCTGTCCAATACTTTTCTATCCAGTGAGAGCAATATAAATAGTAACGATATCAATCCTCTTGAATACCCAGTAAGAAAGCAAAGATTAAGAAGCATTAAAAAAATTCTATCCTTTTGAATACCATTTCTGCCCTATGCTTCTGAATTCCGCAACAGTAGTATAATAATATAATACTAATATTGTTGACATATAGAATGTTCAATTACTTTCAAATAACTGCACTCATGAATTTATTTGCTATTTTAAAAAGGAATAATTATTAAATTATCAGTTAAGAAGGTTAAAAGTGTTTAAAGGTCTCTGAAATTTTTAGGTTATGATTTATTGTCTAACAGAATAACGGCCCTGACTCGTTTAAATGACGTTAAATTGGTAAACAATCAATTTTTCAGCAAGTTTTTCTTTGAACACAAACACTTTTTACAAAATCTGCAACTGTATGTATCTTATAAATTACAAAAATCCAGAAGATTGCTTGAATGCATGCAGAAACGCGGTTCCAATGAAAAATTGAAAAGTGATATAATGACAGGCTGTAATAATTTCGGATGGGATTGGAAAGCATTCAGAAAAAAATTTTGTCTTTGTTAAAAATTACAAAAAGAATTGAATAGCATTCATTTTTAGACGAAACGTGGTCCTATCATGGTATAGAAAAGTATTGGACAGAAATGGCATTCAAAAGTATTGGATAATTTCTACTACACCATACAGAGTTTGAATTATTTCAATCCTTTTCAATTTTTCGTTTCTTACTGGGCATATAGTAAATAAAATAAAGTTCTAAACAACTACTCCAATTATATTAGTTACACTTTTGGTGAAATATACAATATTTCTCAAATTTCCGCTCTCCATGGTATTTGCACAGGAAGAACGAAAGAAACCCTAAATGATTTGTAAAAAAAAAATGATTAAATGATTTGGAAAAATTAGAATTCAGATCAACTGAATTTGGTTAATTAAAAATAAGATAAATTACAGAATTCAAAAGATTAAAAATTTTGACGACTTATATTCAGAGCCAATTTTATTGAAATAAAAATAAATTTTAAAAACAAGTTTTGATTGAAAATATTATAGAAAGTTTATAAAATGAGTGAATTAGTTGCCGAAACTTTAAAAAGTGATAGTCTGTGATCTCTGCAATTAATTTTCACCAAATATAAATTTAAATATCGTTAAACGATAATAACTAATAATATTTTATCAAATAATACAGGTTTTTGATCTAGCAGGATAAATAACCTAAAATTCTTATTTATCCCGCTCACGTTATAAATTTTATCCACTGTAATTATTCAGACCGCTAACAGGCTAAATGGACACAGCGTTCACTTTTATTAGAAACAAATGGCACAACAAATTTTAAAAGAATCGCTAAAAATTTTCTTTGATTATTGAATATCTCGAAAACTAAAAAGTAACCTCCTTCATAACATAATAAAACAAGTTAATGTTTGTCTTCGGAGTATTGTCATAAATTTAAAAAAAATTCATACTTCATTTTGATTAGTCCGAAAAATTCAGTTATGGCCAGAAGTAAAAACAACAATATCTGCAAAAATTAAATAATATATTTATACTGTTTATTATTTACAAAAGAAACATTAACTTATACCGTGAACGAAGTTTACACTAGACAGGAAATACTATTAAATAAAGGTGCGACCACACCTAGTACAAATGTAAGGGTGACTGTATCTAAGGCTGTGTTTACATGCTTGCGTTCAAACGCTGCGATGTGAACGCGATTTCGATATTTCTCGGTTAAGGCTGAAGTCCCATGGCAGCGTTTTGCGTTGCGTTTTGTAACTAGGCAATGAGTGTGAGAGAGATGAAGATATATGTTTGCTATATTTGCACTCATGGCCTAGTTACAAAACGCAACGCAAAACGCTACCATGGGACTCCAGCCTAAGGATGAAGTCCCATGGCACCGTTTTACGTTGCGTTTTGTAACTAGGCAATGAGTGTGAGAGAGATGGAGATATATGTTTGCTATATTTGCACTCATGGCCTAGTCACAAAACGCAACGCAAAACGCTGCCATGGGACTCCAGCCTAATTTTTTTCCCGTAGAAGTGTAAATGCACCTTAAAGTTAAATTGTCTAGTGAGCCTTTAGGATACAATTAGAGGCGCGCCTTTATGGTATGGCATTAAAAGGTTATGAAGTAGAGTATAGCCGGGTTTGTTTATAGTTGAGGTTGAGAATAGTAGAGAATAGAATAGTTGGTATAGAAAAACATAATTAATAGGATACTTGAACTGTATTGATTAATAAATTTTCATTCGAAATTGTGCCAATAATGGATGAAGGAAATACTGCTCAAATAATCGTAAGTACTTTAATAATATTGTTTGTATATCAGTTAGAAATCTATACATGTTGTATTTATATATCAACACTTTATGTTTATATATAATATAATAATTATTGTGAAATGATGTAAAATAATATAATTCTTATTCCTTAAAAAATGGCTGACAACAAATGTTGTTCAATATTTATTTTAAGAAAGTTTCTAATTTCACTTTTGGAGACAATAATTCTTTTTACAAAGATAACACATTTCATAGTTTGATGAAAGTATATTAGGTTAAAGATTTCAGCTAATTTTGTTGTTAAGTCAGTGTAGCATTTGTGTAGCGGTAAAAAAATTGATACTTTTGGAAATAAATCTCTATGATCTCTGGAGAACGAAATAAGAAGAATTATGTAAAAATATTTATTACTTTTCTTAAAATATGAGTGTAAAGTGGAGAAGGCGCGGAAAAATGGTACTTTTTTTTTTGGCAATTAGAAAATATTTAAAAAAGTGCAAAAAGAATTATTGATTAATTATTTTTTAATAATAAAACTAGTGAAAATATATAAATAATAGATAAAATATGTTTTTAATATGTTATTATCAATTAATTACGAGAATTATTGCAGGGTGTCTAACGGTCAGAAAAGTCAGGGAATGTCAGAGAATTTCATTCAAAGTCAGGGAAATTTCTATAAAAATTAAAATTTTTTGTTAATTAAAAATTTTTTTAATCTAACAAAACTTAAGGGGACATTCCAGTTCAAAATGTAAAAAAAATCGATTTTTTTTGTTTTTATTTTCGGATTTCTTATAGTGTCAAGAATACTCTCCTAAAATATTATTGCAAAATTCGAAGTAAAACAAAAGTTATACATCCTTATTCTTCGCCATGTCAAAGATGTTTTTGTATGCGGATAAGCATTCGAATGATTTAAATGTTTTCTCATTTGTATTTTTTAAAAAAGACAAACAAAAATGTATTTGGTATTGCTGATCACAAATTAGATATCAAATTTTCAAAATTCAAAATGGCGGATCCAATATGGCGGAAAAGACAATTTTTTAATTTTAATTTTTTTTTCGTCTACTATATTGCATCCGACATTTTTAGTTTTAAAAAAATGATGTCATATTCGTAATCAGCGACCCCAAAAACCCCCCCCGTAACGATTTTCAAGCAAATTCAATGATTTTGAAAAAAAATGTCCGCCATATTGGATCCGCCATTTTGAATTTCAAAAATCTGATTCCATATTCGTAATTAGCGACCTCAAAAACCCCCGAGTAAAGATTTTCAAGCAAATCCGATGATTTTTTAAAAAAAATTTCGAAACTTATGAACAAATCTTTAAATGCGTTTTTCTCAAAATGTCTTTTTTTGATCTGGTAAGAGTGATATCTCGAGTTCTTCTGAAGCGATTTTAAAAAATCAAACGGCTTTTGATTCAGCGTCATCATGTCTATAAGTGGAACCTCAAAAACTGGAAAATTTCCAACTCCCCTTCTTTTTATAAGACAAATTCTGAATAAAAACAACTTTTTTTGCTTATTTTTGGGAAAACGTACTCTAAAAAAAAGGGGGGAAAGAAAATTCCACTTTTTTGAGGTTCCACACCTAAAGAAATATCTAACGAAGAGAATGTCACTTCGTTTTTGGTTTTATCTATTTTAGAAAGTTTGGAATCGATCTTACCACCGAAAATGGGCATTTTCGAAAATGGCGTATATCGCCGCCATTTTGAAATAAAAATAAAAAAAAAAAATTTTTACAAATTCTGAAATAAATTATTTATTACATGTAAAAGAAATTTTTTAAATAAATGTCATAGTTATTTTAATAATATATACTAAAAAAGCCTTCTTTTTGCCTGTTTTGAACTGGAATGTCCCCTTAAAAGCCTTTATTACTGTTTGTTTCTATCGTTAGATATTAATTTATTGTTAAATATGTCAGTTACCATATTTTTGTCCTAAGAAAGCAAAAATAAAATTAGTAAAAAGTCAGGGAAGAAATCAAGAAATGTCAGGGAAAAGTCAGGGAATTTTTTTCTCAATCCTTGTTAGACACCCTGTATTTAACTCCGTTAAAGAAAAATAAAAGTATTTGGCACTTTCACAAGTTCTAAATCACATCAAAATCTACACACACCGAAATTTTCGTTTTGGTCCCGGGTCTAATTTAAAAGATATAAAGATTAAAAAATTGCACTATATATCAGGTTAAAACTGTTTATTTCCTTTAAATTGAAGTTGGTTTTTAATTTAAACACTTATCAGAACGTGATTAACAATAGAAGAAACCAACTTCAATTAAAAGAAAGTAAACAGTTTTAACCTGATAAATAGTGCAAACTTTTAATCTTTATACATTTTAAATTAGATCTGGGACTAAAACGAAAATTTGTGTGTGTATAGATTTCGATGTGATTTAGAAGTTGTGAAAGTGCCAAATTTTTTTATTTTTCTTTAACCACTAATTCTCGTACTTAATTGAAAAAACCTCAAAATTAGGTGTTTTAGCGGATATACATTAAAAATTTTAAAAAAATTTTAACAAAAAATATCCCGATTTTTTGAGACATATTCTGATTCTCTGAAGAAATAAGCTGTACTACTTAATTAGCAAATATTTTAAAAACATAACGTAACGTAACCAAATTATAAAGTTAAAATAATTTTATTTGACAAATCTTTATTAAAAAAGTCTAAATTTGTATTCAATCGGCTTTTTAATAAGCAGAAAGTCAATGTGTAAATTTTTAATACCAAGAGTAATTTAATCAAATTTTTGTTTGTCGGAATGAATATTTAGTAGACATATTGTCTCAGTGCATATTTTTTTATCCTAATTTTTATGTTACAAAATTTCAATTTTAACGAAAAGCCATTTATAGATCTTCAGTCAAACTTTTGTTTTTGTTGTTTGCTTTTTGTAGCTGATTTATTGCTGGAAGTTGAACAAATTTAAACAGGGTGGCCACTGACCGGGAATTAGCCCTGGAATTTTATACACCGGGAAAAAGCCGGGATTTTGAATAAAAAACGGGAATTGTGACATTTACAGACAAAATCGCTGAATCTATTATACAAAGACACCAAAAAACGTGTTTTTGAAGGTTTTCAGTATTTTTTTCTCTTTAATCTGACGTGCTAGTAACTTCTACACAGTCTTAAATTAAAGCTTAAATCCTACACTACAAGACCCACGACAAAAATTACGAATCCAATGTCAGATTTTCAAACTTCAAAATGTGCCCAATATGACGGACGACTTTTTTGAAAATCAATCCAGTTGTCCTAAAACTTGTTAGTCGGGTATGGCATTAAAAGAATGGATGATTGTGAACAAACGGCTCTCTTCAGGGCCACCAATTACTTTTTACGAAAGAATTTTATTAAGGTCGAAAATAATTTTTTCAAACTTATTCAAATATTATATTATTCTATAATAGTAAATAATAGTATTTTCACAAAAATCCCAGTAATTGAAGCAATCGCAGTAATTGGCGCGTTTACTCTATATGTAGAGATTTCTAGCGCGTCAGGTTAAAGAGAAAAAATACTGAAAACCCTCAAAAGACGATTTTTGGAGTCTTTACCCCACTTTTCTTAAAATCCTGACGTGATGGGCAATTTTAGGACCCAGGATCTAGTTAAGTGGACAAAACTACATTAGAAACAAGTCCGATATCAAAAATAACGGAAAAAATTTATTTGGGGTCTGTATCCCTATACTTTTTCCAAAATCCTTGTTTTTTGTGTTTTGCATATGATTCTTAAAATTCAGGTTTTAAGCTTTAATTTAAAACCTTGTCGAAATCTCTAGCACGCTAGATGAAAGAGGAAAAAATGTTGTAAACCCTCAAAAACACTTTTTTGGGCTCTTTACCCTTACTTTTTTCAAAATCCTGAAATGAAGGGCAATTTTAGGACCCGGGATCGTGTTCAGTAGACAAAACAACATAAGAAACCTCTGCGATATTAAAAATAAAAAAAAGTCGAATTTTGCAGGCCTGTGTAACTAACCGGGAAAAAAATATTTTATTTCCTGGAAAACCGGGAATTAGCCTGGAATTTTTTTTCTAACTTTGAGTGGCCACCCTGATTAAAGTAATATTCTTAAAAAATAGTATATTGTGCACCTAGGGAGGCAAATAGTGATTTTCCCGAGCGAAGTCAAGAACCCAGGTGCAAATTTAGGTTGGCCGCCAGAGTTTGAAGGTTGGCCCAAGGTTGGCCTAACTTTGGCAAGCGAAGTTTTGGTTGCCAGAGTTTGCCCAACTTTGGCAAGTACTTGTGCCCACAGTTGGCCCGACTTTGCAAGCCAACCATTAAATGCAGAGTTTAACCAACCGTCGGGCCAACTTTAGCGACAAAGGTTGGCACAACTCATCAAGTTTCGGTTGGCCGAACTCTGGGCCACGGTTGGCCCGACGGTTGGCAAAACTCAAGAAAAGCAGTATAATTGACTTATAGTTTTTTGGTCGGCCGAACTCTGGGCCACGGTTGGCCCGACGGTTGGCAAAACTTTGTGAAACGCAGTTTAATTGACTTACATTATTTTTGTCGGCCGAACTCTGGGCCACGGTTGGCCCGACTGTTGCAGCTTTAATATACATTTTGCGTTATGCACTCCCATGTGAGCGTAGCGTAGTGGTCAGTGTATAAGTCTTCGGTGCGTTAGGTTAGGGGTTCGATCCCAGCGAGCGTTAGATATTTTCGAAAATGTATGTATGAGATTGTGTTTAATAATAATAGGTAAAGGTTATATCTGATGTTCCCGCTAATAATAACCTGTTAATTGTTTAAATAATTTAGTTTTTTAATAATTTTTTACCTTTGGCTGTTGAAGTTGGCCAAACTTTGAAAATTGTGGTTGGCCCAACTTACGCATCTAAAGTTGTGCAAACTTTGGCGTCAGTCTTTGGACCAACCATTGAAATGTATAGTTGGCACAACATATGCATTGTAAGTTGGGCCAACTTCCTTATGAGTTGTCGGGCTAACCATCGTCGCCATTAGACGGTCGCCGTTATCATCTGTATGGTTGGCCCAACCTCTGGCACGAGAAGTTGGCCCAAATATGGGCCGACCAAAATATCGCACCTGGGAACTGCAAACACACGAGGCGAAAATCATTTTCCTTCCGTGGTGCACATACTATTTTTTCTAACACACGTAAACGAAAGTACAAATATGCAATTATTTAACGGAATTTTTTGAAATAAATACTATTAATTTTATAATGTTAATTTATTATTAGATTATTAGAAACAAATATTCACAATACTGATTATATTAAGATTAGAATGTTTGACAATTAAAAATAATTAATAATAATATATACATTTAACCACAATTATAATAATTATTATTGTTGTAATATTTATTTAAAATCCATTATTAATTAAAAAAATAACAATATGATACATATTTAATCTTAAAAAATATATAGCTCTTTTTATATTTTGCATTTATTAAAAAAAATTACAAATTATTATTGCAGCAGGACGAAAATATTACTTTCTCTCCCCGTGACATCAAAGCGGGGAGGGAAAGTATTACTTTCCACCCTCTTTATAGGTGAGAAATGATGTACTTTCGGTGCGTGTGTTAGAAAAAAACCTTTTTCTTATACACAACGGTAAAAGTTGCATTTTTATCGCATAAAAAATTTCCTGAAAAAAGCATGAAAGAAATTGTTCTGCGAATAAAAATTATATGCCTGCTCACTAAAATGTTCAAGAATCCAAAACAGGAATTTACTACTCGCCCAAAATTTTCAAAGCATTTGACGAATTTAACGCCACCAATGTTTCCATTTGTTCTCAAAATGTCTACCTTATTCAAAATATCATTTTCAGATGGCAATTTTGTCGTTAAACTAATAATTCAATTTGCAATTTTTTCTAACAATACTAAGACCCGATGCAAGTCCACGGATTTGAATGAATTATAGTGAACTGCTTTATTCGCTTGAAACTTCAATGTCATTTAAATACAAACGCGTAAGCGCAGATGACCATATTACTGGCATTTGATTCGATACAACCGCACTCTATATATCGAAAAGTTTACAAAATAATTTTTGGAAAAATTTGTCTAGCAAGAATAAACCAAATGTGCTTCGCAGGGAATACCAGATGATGTGTGTAGACGATCAGGATGTGCAGCAGCTTGGGTGGGACCAACTAGAGTTGGAGTTTATGCTTATAAACATGTAAATGTACATTCTGAAGGTTAGCAACAAAACTTGAACCTGCACCCAGTTAATTTTTTTTCAAAATTTTGTATTGATTTTAAATAGAACAATATTTAACTTGAAAATTAACTGCGGGTGTCAGAGCAGTTTTCAGCTTTATTCTTAATGTTTTCTTAATGTGTTTTTATGTGTTGCAGATAATGTGAGTAATTTCGCTCCCTGCAAAACAAAAGTTCATTTTCTAACACCAGAAGTAATATTATTTACTCCTGTTTTACGAAGTCTTGTAAACGAAAGCAATGGTGTTTTCTTATCGCTGCAGAAAATTCAATTTTCTGATTCTGGGGACTGCAAAACTGAATTGTTAAAGCATAGTAAAAGATACCGCTCTATATTGAGAGCATGTGTTGAAAACTTACAAGACCTAAGAGAAAAATCACTTCCAGAAGAGAGATCTTTGTATGAAAATTTTTTGACCATCTTCTATCAGATTGAATGTATATGGCATTTAACAGAAATATTACACGTTGATGTTATACCAGGTAAAGATTAGAATTAAATCTGTATTCTATATTTTTAAGGCAAACGTATTTTTATTCACATTCTGTCTCCATTTTAATCATATATATTCAGATAATTCGGAAACTATACTTGAAAAATTTATCAGTGCGCTAATGATTTGATTAATGTCATGTTTGATTTCTTTTTTTACCCGGAATAAAGGGTTCTACCCATTTTAATTTTTATTGAATATTTGTTATGTATATACCTATATTTGGAAATTTTCCAACATTCTAAAATAAATTTTTCATTTTAGGAGACGTAGTTCTTTCGAGGCTACTGGAGTGGGTGAGATTTCATTTTCCATCTCGCGAACTCAGAGCAATAAAAATTCTTTCTGAAAAGTCCACTAAAGCTGATCTAGAAAATAGTAATTACTGGGAAGTAGTGATGGGTTGTGCATTACATGGAAAGTTGGATGTTGTTAGAGACCTTCTCGCACTGCATAGTAAAAGAGATCACCCAGCATTTATAACAGCAGAGAACATTCTTAGGACAATGACAATATATAATATTTATGGTGGATATTCTGTTGGTGAATTTTCTATTCGATGGAAAAACTGGCAGATGGATTTGTCATCAAACATTGAAAACAAAGTCTTTTCTGTTGAACCAAATTTAGAAGCTCTAATGAAGGTATTATAATTGTTAAATGTTACCATTGATTAGTGTAAGTGACCTTGCCCTTATGATTAAAGTTTATCGAAAAAATACCCCTATTTCCTTTCTAATAAAATAATATTAAACCGTGCCTCAAAAACCTTTAAGCCTTTTTCCTAAAAGAGACGACTTTTAAAATGTCATAAAACTGAATTTTTCTATAAATAAATTAACCTTGATTCATAAAATTTACCTCCATTTTAGTTAATCTGTTACTAATTATTTATTTTAAACCATTTTTAAAGTTAGTTGTGGGCAGTGAATTGTGGGAATTTTCTGAATACACGGATGCTTGGTATGAACTGCTTGCCGCAAAACTGTTTTATTCAGTTCCCTGTTGCAAACAACAAGAATTGGCACGTTACGCAAACGATATTGCTGTCAAGTGGCAAGCCAGTACACATTTAGATAATGTGATTCTCGCTTTAATGGAAGGAGATTTACATCAGGTAATTGGGGGAATTCAGTACATGAATGACAATGGTTGGTTTGCAGCTCATTTAACTGATTTGCTATTTCGCTGCGGGCGTTTAAAAATCCTTGACAAAAATCAAAAAAAGTACGTTTTTATTTTCAATAAAAAAAAAAAACAACCCAGGTGTTGTAAATATTTTAAAGCAATAACTTGAATTTTGTTTTATTTTTCAGCGTTACCTCTCAACTGCACGAATCCTTAATTTTAGAATATGGAAGTCTTCTAATGGGGCATTATTCTTTATGGCAATGTGGAGTCAGTTATCTAGAACATTGTCCCCTTCAAGGTTTATCTCGATTAGAAATTCTATTGCAATCTATTCCTCTTGGAAACGAGACAAAAATTAACAAAATCATTGAATTGGCACGAGATCATAAAATGCATTCAGTAGGTTGGTATTATTTTACATTCAAAAAGACCTACAATTTGATTACAACAGATTTGCAACTCTACTTTACTATCAATTAATATTACAGTTACCAGTATTTGCAAAAGCCAAGGAATGAAGTGTATTCGTCGAGAAAGGTATGGCAATGCTTTGGCGTGGGCTTTAAAAGCCCAAGACGGCCCGTTTGCAACGTATATTGCTGACAAATTTTTAAAACATTACGCAGAACATGGTGAAATACAGTGTCAAGATGTCCTTGAAAATTTAGGCAGTTGTATGCTCGTTAGTGACAGACTTACATTTTTAGGTCTGTATATATTCTCCTTAAAAGAAATAAAAATGTTTTCTTCTATAATAACATTATTATTTTTTCTTCAGGAAAGTATTGCGAATTCCATCAAACGTACTCTATAGGCGAATTTAAGGAAGCAACAGGTTTATTAATATCACTTCTTGCCTCAAATTTAACTCCGAAATAGTAAGTAATACATTACAAGTTTTAGACTTTTCAATTATTTTTGCAACATTTAAACTTGATTAATTTACTGCTTTTAGTTTTTGGTCAACTCTTCTGACGGATGCTATCCCTCTTCTAGAGGCTGAAGATGTCATTTTTTCATCTGACGACAGTTTTGAATTACTTCGATGCGTAGAAGTGTATGCTGATGATCAAAAATTCCACAATAAAATTGAAATATTTCGCTTAGCAGTGGCTCGCAATTTATCTCGAGCCTTAAATTTAGAAGGTTGCCTGGCGGATTAATAAATTTAAAAATCATTTCTGTGTAGAATTTCATGATGATAATTTATAATTCAATAAGATATTGTCTACCAAGTGCTTTTAAAATTTATTTTCACAAGTTGCACACAAAACTGTAACTATTTTGTATACTATATTATAACTTCATTAAAATTAATTTTACTATGTCTTTTGCGTCTTAATCTTTCCAATATTATCCATTACTATCTTATTTAATAATCAATAAAATATACGTGTGATATCAAGAGTGAACATTTTTCGTGATTATTCAAATCAATTTCATAATATTTTGTTAAAAATATTATTTTAACCAAGTAGGGTAAACCAGACAGTCGGCCACTTGAGAAAATCATTTGAATAGTGTTTAAAAATTGTTGAAAAAAAGAATTCGTCAAAATGAAATGCCTTATGTTAATAAGGGTATTAACATTCTTTCTTGCATTAACAAAAACACTCTCTAAAGTAGGTAATTCTTTAAATTTCGACTGTTTTTCAATGTTTGAAGCGAAAGTTGATTGAACATTGCATGAAAGTTTAAAATTTCTTCAACTCTCATGCAATATTTAGTCAACCATTATGTCAAACATTGAATAATGTCGGGCATTTGAAGAAAAACTTTTTAAGTTTTATGAGCTTCGCAACTAAAGATTCCGAAATTTGCAGTCAAGTTAATTTCAACTTTCAGGACATCTTCGGCAGTGCCGTAACTAGGTTTTTGTGCACCCGGTACGATGTGATTATTTTGGCGCCCTCTTCACTCTTCAGAAACGGAATTACATACAGTAGAACCTTGGTTATCCGAGCCTCGATTATCCGAGATTCCGGATTATCCGAGGCACTAAACATGCTCGGTTAATGCCGAATAACTCGGATAAAACGAATCGAGCGACTAAATTTGGAAAAAAAATTTTACAAAACTACTATTTGTGATCATTGCATTTAAAATTTCGTTAATTTTTGTCGTTTAATATTATTCTAACACTTTAAACACATGGAAAATAATTTTAAATTATGAAATTTTCATTTGTTCCGTGTTATCCGAGTTTTCGATTATCCGAGGCACCTCTTCCCCACATTACCTCGGATAATCGAGGTTCTACTGTATAATGTCTGCTGATTGATAAATTACTGTTTATTTTTAAAAAATAATTAATTTTGACTTTCAGAACTAATCATTAGTCGCATTTTTCTGGTAAATAATTATAATTAGTTATTTAGCTATACTTTTAAAAAACATGGTGACATAACTGACAGTTAATTTTCTCACAATATGCACTGAAAGAAACTTTGTTACAATATTTAATATTTTAGGGTCACTTTTTAGTATATTTAGTTACAAGTGTTGGACATTTTGGTATAGTAAGGATTTTCGTATACTATTAACCCTCACGGGCTCGAGCCGGGTCCCTCGGACCCGGAGGAAAGTTTTTTTGATCTACTTCCGGTTAAGAAAATATTATTGGAAAATCAACTTCACATTAGGCTTGGGGACGTAAAAACACATATTTTTCACCAGTATAAACAATTTTTTATTTATTAAATACTCTTGTAAAATTACCTTGTAAGTCGAACATACGTAAGGGCTCAAGCGGGGTCCGAGGAACCCGGCTTATGAAAAAAAGTTTAAAAATTTTCAATTTTTATGCATTATTGGATTTATTTATGGTTTTTTTATCAACAACTGCCATAATAAGTGATAACATATGCTTAATACACCAGTAAATTTAATAGAACAAAAAATACAAATTAGAAAAATCTTGCTTAATAAGTATGTAGTTCGATTTATTCAAAATGACTCATTAAATTTATTAAACAAATTTTAGTTATAACTTGATTACTTTTTAATATTTAAAATTTTTTATGCAATTATATCATTAAAATTGTATGAAATATGGAAAATATGAAGCACTTTGCTATTAAATTTTATTTTTTATTGCATTGAAACATCCGGGTCCGTCGGACCCACCTTGTGCGCGCATTTCAAAAATCGAACTCGAGCCTGTGAGGGTTAAGAATGCTTAGAAGTAAAATAAGGAAATATAATATATTTGAAAAGATAATTTAGTATAATCTTCACAAAATTCAAAATGATTGTATTAAAACTCGAAATTCTGTTCAAGTCCGTAATAGTTTCAAATTTTGATAAAGTTGATATGAAAATGCACGAAAACTGAAAAAAAAATTGACGAGAATTATCGAAACTTGCCGAAGTTGAACGAATAAGTCTTGCCTGAATAAAATTTCCTTTCGGCTTTATCATATATTGTAACAAAGTTTCTTTCAGTGTGAGATTGAATATTATGAAAGTACAGTTTTCCATAATACAGCATGTAAGTATTTAAACTTTACCAAAAATTGAAGCTTGGAATTGGAATCTAGATTACTTGTATTTTTATTTTAAGCTAATAATGCACAAAGTATAGGAAGAGAATAAAAACATTTGATTTGAGTATTTTTGGGTAATTTTTGCAGCTGTAGGTGGTTTCTTTCAAAATGTACCTTTTATTCTGAGAGACTGAAAAAAATGCTTGCGACAAAAAATTCCCCAAAACTCTTCTAATTTGTGAATATTTCTAAGTAAAACCTAATATATCTGCCCAGTTTGATGTTAATTAAGTACCTCAAATCTGCCAGCAAATGTATTTAAATTCGAAATAAATATTTAAAAAGAGTATTTTTTAAAATTATAAAATGTTTATTAAAATTGCTTTAGTTTGAATTTCAAATCAACAAAATTTGTATATCGTTTAATATTACGTTTTAAAATGAAATGAATTTTTTAATTTTATAAACTCAGGTAGCCAATAAATTTTGTTGATCTTCATAGTTACACATTTTCTTTTAAGGAAGAAACATTTTGCACAGTATAATTAAGTTGTTTTATCTTTCTTTTATAAATAAGAATCGTTCAATTCCCTCTAGAAGTTTGTAATCATGCCTCTACAATAAGAGTCCTTATTGAGTTGTAAATTAGTTCGCAGCGTGATGATATGAAGTAAAAGAGAAGCGTGGGGGATTACGAGTAATAGGAATCGTAGCAGCATCAGATATAAAATCACTGAGACCTTTGGCTAAGTTATTCAGTATAGAAGGAATTTTCGAAAGAAAAGGACTTCTCGGTGTTCAGTACATACATTAATTAAAATTTACTTTTAATATTCAAACATTGAAAAAAAGAATTCGTCAAAATGAAATACCTAATGTTAATAAGGGTATTAATATTCTTTCTTGCGTTAACAAAAACACTCTCTGCAAATAGTAGGTAAAACTATATATTAAACTAAACTTTTGTAAAAATATCATATAGTGAAAAGTGGAGTAATCATAGCTACTGTTTTATATTTAATAATCAATTTTATTTCTAGTAGTATTTTAAGCTTTTGTTTTAAGATAGTTTTAACACACAAAAAGTATAGAATTCTTTCTATACTCCAGAGTGATACAGTACACCATAACGCATATATATGCTGTCCTTCCGGTTTGATTGAATTTTAAAAAGTCTTGTCATTTCTATCAAATATTCTTAGTTCGTGACGTACGAATGTTTATTCACATGTCATGAACTAAAAACATTTTGACAGAAATGACAGAACTTTTCAAAACTCCGTCAGACCGAAAGGACTTTAAATAAGAGCTGGTACCGTATACTATCTTAAATTTTGTAGTCTCGCGCAAGTGTAATTTAAAAAGACATTCTATAGTTATAAAAATATTAATCAAACAAGAATTAATGAAATAAAACCAATAAAAGGCAAAGTTAATCCTTCGCGGCATACTGAAATAATAAAAATGATAATTTTTAGTTCAACTAATTTAATGGAATGAAGAAGTGATAAAAATTCTTTAATTATAATCACATGTTTCATGTAAATTAATATGTGGACGTCCGCATGAAAAGGGACCACTTTGGCACTATTGGACTTTTCTATTTGGTTAAATTCCTTGTTAAAGGCAAATTTTAAAAAGTCTTCTATCCAATTTGGTCCAAAAATCGCCGAGTTGCAGAATTTAAAAGTTTAGAAAGTCAAAAACCTCATTTCGAATATCTTTGGTTCTTTTGATAACTTATTTAGATAAAAGTTGGTTCAAGTCCTTTTTCTGAAAATGCGTTTTTCAAAGCCCTCAAACTTCCTGTTTTAAAAAGTCAAAAAAGCATTCTTTCGTAAATTTAATGTAAACTCTACAAAAATTAGTATCTTTTGTCCGGACAAGTCTCTTTCTCTTTCGAAACGTTCAAAAACTGAAACCTAATATTGCTTAATTAAAAAAATTTTCATTTTTAATATTTTTTTAGATTCATGAAAAAAATCTATAAAAAGGTTCAACTTATTCTTTAAGCTACCCAGTCCTGGGGTTTAAATTTATGAACTCGATATTTACATGCGCTGAAAGCTGACGTTTTTACTTTTCCAACGATATATTATTTTTTGTTATGTTTATCTAAATCCATATTAATTTTACAAAGCAATTTCGGAGGGACTCACTTGAGTCTTTTTTGTCCTGCCGGAAGAACACGTTGGACATTCTATGGTTGGGTGTTATTTTCTTGAGTTATATGAAGAAAAAAGAGAAATTAGATATAAAACAATTTTTTAAGGGACTTTATTATAAATAATCTTGGGAAATATCGAAAATTTCATTTCTAAAAAAACGAAATTGAAGTGAGAATTTTTTTATACGTAGATAAAACTATAATAATAAACTGTCGGAAACAACAGAAATTTGCAACGGACCGACAAAGTGTTCCTTTTTCATTTTTGTTTCTAACAAAATATTATAAAATACTTGTAGTATTAATAAATTAATTAAAACTGCAAAATTCGACGTGTGACAGATTAAGAAGAAAGAATAAAAGAAAATTCGATATCTTTCTTCCCAAAATGTACAGAAATTACTGTGGATATGAGAAAAAGTTGAGGTCTACTTTTGCATTACACTAAAGAAATTCCCAAACTTTTCAGAAATCTGCCGTGAACTGCACAGGAGCAATTCTCAAAAATTTGGGAATTTCTTTATAGTGTAATGCGGGAGTATAACAGACCTCAAGTTTTTCTCATATCCACAATATAATAAATTTTTTCCGTGCAGAGAGAATAATAATTTGAGTCACAATGTCAATTTTGGCATACAATTCAAATTTAACTATATATATATATATATATATATATATATATATATATATATATATATATATATATATATATATATACATTGAAATATACAGATACTAACGTTGGAAAACGTAATTATTTTTAATTAATTTTTTCAAATGTTGCAATTAATATGTATTTATACCTATTACCTATAGGTATATCTATATTAAATGTCGATTAAACTCTTTGGTTTGATAAATTATATATTATGGATATATAGATGTCAATAAATAATTATCAAATTCAATTTTGCTCTGCAAAAATAAGCTGCGTGTAACAATGCACTCTCGACTATACATAGAGTATGGGCTTGCTTTAAAAATATAAGATAGTCCAGGCTGTGTTCGCAAGGTGCCTTAATTGGCAAAAGTCCCGCGAAAGGCAGCTATTAACTGCGGGGTTCGAGTTCTCACAGATGCTCATTGTCAGTGCCTTAGAGCAAAAATAATTTGAAATTTATAATTACTTATCGACAACCATATCGGATATAATTATCATAAGAACACTTGACTCTAAACCAGAGTTTAATTGACATTTAATAGATTGGCTGATAAAGTCGAAATTATTTTTAATAATTATAATTCTCAATGAGCGAAAAATTCCAACATTAATCATTAATTCTTTTTCTGATTATTTTATAAATGTGTAATTTTATAGCAATTTTGACGAGATATTGGATACAGTATTAAACAGAAAATTACTTCAGTTAAGGGTGTTCGAACAAGAAAAACCTTTAAAAATGGCTGTCAGAACTTATGCTTCATCTGAAATTAATTATTATCACAATTGAGACATTTATCGCAATTTTTAAAAAATCAGCCGGAATCTTGAATGGTTGTAATTTCATTTTCTTCCAATAAATTGAATATTTATTTAACTAGAACCACAAAAGCGAAATATAAACAAATTAGTGCTATTATAATAATAATAGCACTATTATAATATCTTCAGAGGGCGCAGCACCCACCGGGTACATAGAAATCTCTTAGTTTACTTCCTATTGTTGCATATGTTAAAAAATCTTTAATTTCTTAGACTCAAATTAAAGCAAAAGTTTTCAAAATTCCGGCTGATTCTATTCAAATTACTATCAATGTGTCAATTGCGATAAACATTCGTATCAAAAAAAGTATAATTTCTGACCGCCATTTTTAAATACCTTTCTTGATCGAACACCCTTAATTACAAAGCAAACAATTGTCTGTATTAAAATAATTTATTAGAATTAGATTGTAAATATAATTTACGTATCAAAAATGCAGAAATCACAAAGTAATAAAAAAATCTTATCTTTTTCAGTTGTTCCGAAACTTAAGCAAAGTGATAGAAGAGCTATTGGCTTAGTACCTTACCCAAGAGTAGGACGCAGTCGGAGGGAAAATTTTACACTAATAATAAAAAATCCATGGATAGGAAGATCATTTAAACGTTTACTTCATACAAAGTGTTCTCTTTATGACAATGAATGTTACTGAGATCATGTTCAAATATTCATCCAAAGTCACAAGATGGAAAAGTTTATGTAATATTCTTATTAACGATTATTTCTTTTAATTATTAAACTACTTGTTAATTATATCCATCTTCATACATATTAATTTTAGCTTATCCTGTATAGCACTACATAATAAACAGTACATACACAACTATAGAAATAATAAGGATGTTATTATTCTTAGTCGCGTTAACAAATGCAAACTTACTTTTTCTATAATTTAGAAAAGCAGACTTTATATTATTATACCTATATGTATATTTTTCAAACTCTTTAGAAATTTTAATTTTTTTTACCAATTTTTAATTATTTTCATGAATAAATGTTACATGGAATAGGCATTTACCTCCTGGTAAGTATAATTTAACCGTAACCTGCATCTAAGAAACCCTTGGTGCGTTTTTCCTCCTGCGTAAGTTCTATTTAACTATCTGACAACTCCTTTTTAAGTCCTAATTGAACCTTAAACCCTGTATTAATTGTCAGTAGAAATATTACTATTTGAATTAGTGACTGACTTTTTGCTTCTGAATCAGTTATTTTTAACTGAGAGAGTACCTATAACTTTGAAGTGAAATTGTGAGAAAACTAATACAGCTATAGAAAGCTGCGCGGTTTAATGCATTTGGAAAGAGCGGCCCGTTTACTATAATAGAGTCGCTAAAAAAATGAAAATCGATTTTTTCGACCCGTAGGTCACATAGGGTGATTGTGCGTATTACTATACGAGTGCCCTATTTACTACGAATTTCATTTAAAATATTAAAATAAAACTGTATTTGACAGATAATAGTCTATAAAATAGCTATAATAATACTTTAGTTTATATTAATTGTTATTTTTAATGAAAAATTCTAAAAAAATGCATTTTAATACGTTTTATTTAAATTTGAAAATCTCAAGTTTAGATGAGAGAACAAAAAGTTGCATTAGTGAGTTGAGAGGGCTTTCAGAAAGATAAATATATTTATGTATTTTGTGAACAAATATTTAATGTTAAGTTATTTTTAAATAAAGCAATAACCATTAGTTTTTATAAATTTAAAGAAAATGTTATGTTTTTAACGTTTTTATTATTTAATTTTAAACGTAGAATTATAGACACAGGAATTTTCGCGCTTGTGTTTATTTCTACGCCATGTCACACAACCTGAAATATAGTTGTTGACAGTTGGTGTTTGTTTATAATGTTTATAGTGAACGCAATGAAAATAACTTTTAGCTAATAAATAAAGGTATTTTATAGTTTTTATTATTGTGAAAACTGCACGAAAGCACAATGTCAAAGATTAGGATGCAGTATACGAAGGAAAACGACCTAATAAAGTTTTTGTTGAATAAGTAAAAAACCCGATTTAAACATGTAACCTCCCGTGCAGAAATTCAAATGTGGGCCTGATAGGGTACTGGACAGTTTTCCCGATCTCTGGTGTGGCTCTGGGTAGAGAAACTGACCAGTGCCCGACTAGTGTGTGACGCTGTTCCCGACCAATGCCCTACTTAGGGAAAAACTGGTCAGGGCCTCGTCAGTTTTTCTTAAAATTGCCCTATTTTGTGAGGTTAATTTTATTCAAAAGAAATTACAATAAAATTACTGTAATTAAAAATACATACCTAATAATAATTTTCTATTCCGTGAACAGAAAGTGTCATCTTTTGTTTTTCTATATAATTAATGTTTTGACAGATATGTTTTAAAGTGTTGTTTCTATTTTTGTGGTTAAAAATTCGGGGCGCATGACTTCCCCCAAATTCTACTTTATACAATTATAATTGTTATTTAATAGAATTTAAAAATTTATAAACACCAATTACTCTTAATGTGAGTGGCTATAATTTAATGACAACATTATTACAATTCTTAATATTTTAATTTTTAAATACAATCGTTAAAAATATAATGTTTATTTCTCATAATTTTTATGAATAATTTTTATTTATTTGAAATAATGATGGTTTTATAGGATATTTTTCAAATAACATAAATTTTAATACGCGAAATAATATTTTACATAATTTTAATTTAATGGAAGATTTAATTTTTTATAATTTCTATTTTGCATATAATCAACAATAATAAAAACTATTTTTCATTCGTGGGTTCAAAAGAATGAAATGGAGAAAATATTAAACTTTAAAAAATATAAGTCTCAACCCCTCACGAAAAAAAACTGCTATTAGCCAATAAAAGAATCAAACTCCTCCTAAATTTGTATTTCGTTCTTTTGAACCCACGAATGAAAAATAGTTTTTATTGAAAGGGAGAAGTTTAAATTTTAATTTAATTGGTCTTAAACATCCATTTTATCTTTTGGGGGTTGGGACTAAATTTTATATTTTTTAAATATTAATATTTTCTCCATTTTGTTCTATTGAAGCCACAAATAAAAAATATTTTTCTTTAAGAACCCAGGAAACAAAAACCCAGATAGCAAGCTTGAAATGTCTGGACTGCTGCAAACTTGCACTGCAAGCTTGCAGCAAGTTTGCACAGCAAGTTTGTGGAAAGTTTGCACAGCAAGCTTGCTGCAAAGTTGCAAATTTTTTTTATATATTCATAAAAAATTCTGCTTTTTGTACCTTTTTAAAATTCAATAAAATTAAAATTATTTGCAAAAAAAGGTAAAAAAAACATAATTTTTTATGCATACAAAAAAATTTTGCAACTTTGCAGCAAGTTTGCTGAAAGCGTTCTACAAACTTGCTGTGCAAACTTTCTGCAAGCTTGCAGTGCAAGTTTGCAGCAGTCCAGACATTTCAAGCTTGCTGCAATCTTGCAAAACTTGCAGTGCAAGTTTGCAGCAAGCTTGCGTGCTATCTGGGAACCTATTCGCTTGTTTTGAATCGGTCGAAAGCTCTCGTGAATCCGCATTCTTAAAAGGCAAAGGCAGATTAATTCTGATTAGTTGCACTACTTATTGAATAGGACGTCAATACACGGAGAAACTTTTAATACCACTAATTCTTAAAACTGGTGAGACATTTTAGTATGTTAGGTTAGATTCAAGGGAAAAACGACATAGGTTATAGAAATTGCTATTGAGACTATCAAAAACACTCATTCAGTATATATTTTACAGTTCTTCATAAGGAAACTAACGAAAATTAGTATGTTGTTTTAGAAAGAAAATAATAATTTTTGCAAAGTTGGGAAAGCCATGAATTAAAAAGAAACACAACAAATTAATTGTCTATAGATACTCATAGAGACGATAGTGATACTTGGATCTGATGGTAGATGGCATTAGTGTATGTCACTGTAACTGTAGGTAAATATATTTAACACGACGTAAGAACCTAACCTATATTAATAACGCACACACGCACACGCAAGTAAAGACACGACGATTGGTCACGGAAACCGAAAGATCGCACGATTCGTTAGAAGTACACAGCTGAATCGTCCTTATATATTAAACGAGTGGAAAAATATGTACCTTCGAGAGAGAGCATTTTTTTAAATAACTTTCTAATCAAATTATGTAAATAAGTAAAAGTCGTGAAAAAAATTATGTTATATTGAGGAACAGTTCTTGAATTTAATTTGGCATGAGGAGACATTCACGTTTATTAATAAAAGGTTTTTTTCTTTCATACACGTGTGAATTTCAACTTCGAAAACATTAGGGTTAGTTCGCGACGTCAGGTGATGGACTCGGTGATGCTCGGGCGAAATCGGTTAAGTCCGCCCGCAGTCCTTCCAAAATTGGTATGTTACGTTAGAATGTCTGTTATATATTCTATCTATATGTGTAAAAAAGGTTAGAATTACCGTATTATTTCACAAACAAAAACTAGCATTTTATTCTTTTCTAAAGAAAAATAAGACTATTTCTAATGCAGATAGTAATTTTTGTACACCGAAGGTTGCTTAATATATAACGAACTTATCATATTTTCGTATTAATGTTGAAATTATTAGCACAACGCACGAAAAATCCTCACATTCTAACGTACTTTTAGAATAAACATAACCAAATATATTTAATATTATAAGAAAAAGTTTCTCCGTGTAATTTGAATCGGAATAACAAACTTTTTATTATCTGATTCACAATGTGACATGAATCGGAGGAGGCGTCGAAATATTTAAAAGTACGCATAGGCGTAGCGAGCGATTTCTCCTCAACTTCCACTCTTTTCCCCTCTTTTCGTCCCTCTTGGTGAAATTTTTTGACTTTGATAATTAATTAAAAAAAATCCAGATTGAAAATGAAAAAAAGGGCGATTTAGGGAAAAATAATATTTAATAGAGAATATTCAACAAGTTTTCTTATGACGATTAGATGTTTCTATGAGCGTAAATATCAATCCGCGTTTTACGAAACATATCAAACTGATAGCTCTATATGAGAAGTTGGACATGGCCGACCATAACAGGTTGCTCCGTTTGCGTGGTACAGTAGGAATGAACGTGAGGAACAAAAATATTAAATGTCAATTACTCTTATTGTTTACTATTATATTTATTATTTGTTTATTTATTTATTATTGTTATTATATCTATTATTATTTATTATTATACTTACTTTTTAAAAATATTATTATGGAAAATTATTCAAACAATAAAGGGAAATTTTTTATGAAAAAATTATTAAACAAATAAAATTACTAAACAAAAAAAAGTAAATAATAAAAAATTATGAAATGTATAATTTTTTAAATTATATTAGTTATACAAATTTTTTTAAACAAAATTATTTCAAATACCAAGATTAATTTTTTTTATAGACAATTTGAAAATTAATACACTGGGAATAATATTGACACATTCAGAAAAAATAAATTTTAATGCAAAATAAATATATTAGTTAATTAGTACTGAGAATTAACGAATGATAAAACTGATTCAAATTATTTAAATCAGTCTGTTTATTAACAGAGTTTTCGGACTTGAGAATGTGAAACATCTCTCTAAATTTCCTTCGTCTGTAATTTCGTTCGTTACATATGATGTTTGTTGCTTCGAAATTAAATAGATGGTCATTCTCATGTGCATGAGTGACCAAAGCTGTTTTTCTACTATCATTTCTACAATCCCTCCTATGTTCACTTAGTCTGTCTTTAATATATCTACCAGTCTCACCAATGTAGCAAGCTCCACATTGGCAAGGTACACAATAAACCAAATGCGATTTTAAATCAAAAGAAGTAGGGTCTTTA